TGATCATGTGACATTTGTCCTTTCTCTTGTTTATGTGGTGTATCACATTGATTGTTTTGTGTATGTTGAACCATCCTTGTGTCCCTGGAATGAACCCAACTTGATCATGGTGTATGATATTTTTTATGTGTTGTTGGATTTTGTTTGCTATGTTCATCAACAATATTGGCCTGTATTTTTCTTTTCTGGTAGTATTTTTTTTTTGCTTTGGTATCAGGGTGGTGGTGGCTTCATAGAATGAATTTGGGAGTATTCCCTTCTCTTCATTCTTTTGGAAGAGTTTGAGAAGGATCAGTAGAGCTCTTTGTGTATTTGATAGAATTCTCTAGTGAAGCCATGTGGTCCTGGACTTTTGTTTGCAAGGAGGTTTTTTAATTGCTGATTCTATTTCACTTCTAGTGATTGGTCTGTTCAGATCATCTGTTTCTTCAGTTTTGGTGAACTGTATGTTCTAGAAGCTTGTCCATTTATTCCAAGTTGTCCAATTTCTTGCCATACAGTTCATAATGTTCTCTTATGATTTTTTTGTATTCCTGTGGTGTTGATTGTAATTTCTACATTTTCCTTTCTATTTTGTTTATTTTTGTCCTCTCTTTTCTTGGTGAGCCTGGCCAGAGGTCTGTCAATTTTGTTTACTCTTTCAAATAACCAGGTTCTGGTTTAATTGATTTTTTCTATTTTTTTAATCTCTATTTTATTTATTTCCTCCCTGATCTTCATTATTTCTTTCCTTCTGCTGATGTTAGGTTTTGTTTTTCTTTTTCTACTTCTTTTAGGTGGTAGGTTAGGTTGTTTATTTGAGCTTGTTCCTGTTTTTTGAGTAAGGCCTATATTGGCATGAACTTCCTTCTTAGCACTGTGTTTGCTGCATCCCATAGATTTTGTGTGGTTGTGTTTTCATTTTCATTTGTCTCAAGGTATTTTTTAATTTCTTCTTTGATTTCATCATTGACCCACTGGTTTTTTAGTAGCATGCTGTTTTATCTCCATGCTGTCATTTTTTTTTCTCATTTGTTTTCCTGTGGTTGATTTTCAGTTTCATGTCATTGTGGTCAGAGAAGATACTTGAAATAATTTCTGTCATCTTAAATTTGTTGAGGCTTCTTTTGTGCCCAAGTATGTGGTCTATCCTAGATAATGTTCCATGCGCACTTGAAAAGAATGTATATTCTATTTTGGAGGGATGTAATGTCCTAAAAATATCAACCAAGCCCAACTGTTCTATTGTGTCATTTAGTATATCCATTGTCTTACTGGTTTTCTGTCTGGAAGACCCGTCCAATGATGTTAGTAGGGTGTGAAAGTCTCCTACTATTATCATATTCATATCAGTTTCTCCTTTTATGTCTGTTAGCATTTGTTTTGTATATTTAGGTGCTCCTGTATTGGATGCATATATGTTAATGAATATAATATCGTCATCTTGTATTGCTCCTTTGATCATTATATAGTGTCTTTTATCTTTCTTTATGGCTTTGTTTTAAAGCCCATTTTGTCTGTTATGAGTATTGCTGCTCCTGCTTTGGAAGTAATCTTTTGAGACCACCACTGAATCATTTATATTCAAATTTTGAAGTTTGAAGAAAAAAATTATTATTATTTTTTTTACAGTTTAAATACTCCCAGCTCTAAGATTACTTAAGGACAGGTGGAGACCAAAAAGGGAGACAGAGCAAGAGATAAAAACAAAATTTTATGCAAACTGTGCTGTAATGGCTTAGTATCCTATTTCTCTATTATTCTCTCTTGTCAAGAGTAGTATTAGTTTAAATTTTGATGTGTTTGTTACATTTCCCTAATTGTTGATGGAAAATTCAGAACTCTGAAGAGTTTATTTTCTTCTGTGTTGCTACTACATCATTATTCCTTGAGTATTCCCTGTTCTGACTTACCCATCTTCTTGCCAACCTACATGAATCCTGGTTTTTACCGTAATTATGCCCAATATAAAGACAGAAGGGCAGGTATCTGCCCCTGCATGTGGCTAGAATATATGTGTGAGATAAATATTCTTAAGGATACTGATTTTCCAGTTTTAATACTTACTGAGTAAAAATTAACCTAGATATACAGAAATCACCATTTGTTTCTTAATAAAAGTGTCAAATTTCAACAAAGCAATAAGAAAAATCCTGAATTTTAAAGCCTAATGAAGATTGCTAAATATATGGATACATCATAAAAATGTAAATTTCCAAATAATGTTTGAATATGGAATTTGAGATAATGTTTATGGGCAAGCTAAATAGTAGTAAATTCATGAATTTGGAATCTGTTGTAAACAATGGTTATTAATATTTTGGGTAAGTTTACTTCCAAGAAGTATTGATTTATATTTATGCATCATTGGCAGAAATAAATTCATAGTCTCTGAATTATAACATTAGATAATAGTTTTAAGAGAAGGAAGACTCTTTAGAAAAGGGTTGACTGCAGAAGTATAATCATAATCCTGTTTGATAAATTTGCAAATATGAAAGTGACAGTGTAACAAATTTGTTTTCAGTGTGAAGATGTTGGATCAAGTTTTCTCTAGGTTGGTGGAGGGGAAGGGTGCAAAAGCCTGAGTGTTGGTGACTGTCTTAGGGTCACCCTGAAAGGAGCTGAAAACCTGTTGAGTTTCTCACTGTTGTGAGACAGATCATCCTTTGTTGTCTCAGTGAACCATCACAAACTCTTAGAGGTGGTTATTATTATCTCTGTATCACAAACAAAAAATGATGGGACCAAACTAAACAGAAAACATAGGCCTGGAAGGTTAACTAAATTTTTCAAGTTTGCATTTTTAATTAGTAAGTAGAATAGCCAGACTGATTGCAAATCTTTCTAACTGCAAAGCCCCTATGCTTTCCAGGCTTTTTTCCTGCAATAAAACAAACAAAACCTTTTTTGGATAATGCAGATATTCATTGGACCCATATTTGAAACTACATTTCTGTAACTTGAATGCCTTAGACATCTTTGGGGGAGGAAAATTAACCTGGGCTTTCAATCAAGAAACCAGTGTGAAAAATGTGGGAATGCCTTCATTCTCGTACTTGAGAGAGTTGGCATCTGGATCTACAACCTATCCAGTATGTGAAGGAGAAAGCAGAAAGTAGCTAAATGAGTCAGCATGAAGAACCTCAGGATTCTATAATGCATGTCTCCTGGAAGCAATGTATTTTACCAAAAATTAGGTCATGAGGAGACATTGTTTTTGTTGGTCCACTCATTTGTTTACCCACCCATCTATTCATTCATCACTCTCAGCTTTGAAGAGCTCATAATCATATGTTTGTGCAATACTATATACTATTATACTGTGTTCGAAGCAATACTATATACTATTATATTGTGTTTGAAGTACCTTTTTTATGGAAAAAAAAATCCAGGAAAACTATGTAGAATAAACAGCCTAGGTATTGTGATTACCATTTTATAGATGAGCATATAAACTTTGAGAGATTAAATAATGTCCTAAAAATCCTGATAGGTCCAGCATGTCCTAGGCACAATTTAATTTCTTGTTTTAAACTGAATGCTTGTTCCATGATTAGACCTAGTTAATAAGTGAGATATAAAACTGAGAGTAGTATAAACATAATTATGTACTAGTTCCAACATCTAGAGATAATTGAAATCAAATAAATTTTAAGAATAGATATAGTTCAATCAGGGCTAGTGATAAAGTTCTTTTTCTGAAATAGTAAAAATAGAGCTCTCTTTTAAATTTTCAATATTAATTTTCTAGCATTTCGAGGGTATTTTGAGCCTTTTCATTTTTTGATGCATGTATATTTGCATGAATTTCACCTTACCCTTTTTAAAGATGTTCTTTGCATGTTATTCTTTCTCATACCTTCATAATAATTCCACATTTACTTATCTGCATTTTGCTATATTCGTCATTGCTTTACCCTTTGTTTTTTCAGTCTTTATCATAAAATCGATCTCATTTTTTTGCACTATAATTTTGTCTAGATAATGCAATTGTCAGTCTTTAAACAGTAATTTCATTGAGCCAAACCAGATTTTGGAATTCTAAAGAGGTTAAGTTAGATGTTCATCTTCACAAAAACATTTTTTATTCCTTCATTTTCTACCATAGGATCTATAAACATTTAAAATAAATCCTGAGTGACTGGTAATGAGCTGCCTGAAGATGGATAATATTAAATAAAGCTATAAAAACTTAAATGAAAGGAGGCCACGCCCAACTAATTTATGAGAAAGGGAATTTTTAACACTAACACATTCTCAACAGTTTAAAAAAAAGTGTAACATGTGACAGTTTGAAACTTACATCTTCATTTATTACTGATTCCTGCCAAAGGAAAATATTCCTCTAGTCCTTTCAGAAGAAGACATAATTAAGAATCAGCCATGGGCATTATTGAATATAAATAGGAAAATTCAGAAAATTGCTGTTTCCTGAATAAAAATTGCTTAAATATCGTGGAATTGTTTGTTAGCTTTTTTTTTATATTAGGACATATTCAGTTCAACCTAAATCTAAATCCTAGGACATCTTCAATGAAAGTTAAATATAAAGCCTTTTTTGTGTTTTACTTAACCAAATTTTGTTCTGTAGAAACTTTTTGCTGACTTCAAGGAGAGTTTAGATTATGCACAGAGAATTGAAATTCTCACTTATTGAAACATCTATATTACGTCAACTGATTGCTTAATTTCTTCCTAAGTAAATATTATCAATGATTATGAGGTTCTGTAGAAAGTATACAAATTTAAAATAAAAATTATATCATTAAATTTTTTAAATTTCAAGACTGATCTCCTTCATGCCTAATTGTTTATTTCAATGAAATTTCTTGTTATAATATTTAAAATCCTTTGGGAAGTTGCATTTATTTCTTTTAAAGCTTGTTTTTATTTGATAAGAATAATGTAATACTAGCCAAAGAAAATAAAGATACATTTTAACTTTTGTTTAATAATACATTACTTTTTCTCTCATCTAATTCTTATTCAACTTGTTCTTTTTGCTTTTCTATACACAGGCTGAGATAAATGACCCAACTGATCCTTTCACAAGTTATAGGACAAAAGATTTATCAAGTGTAGGGGATGAAAATTTCTCCAAATACATAGGATGGAGAATTGCCAACGTGCTCTCCAAACTCTGCTTCCCCTCCCCTGATGCCTGTGTCCTTCCTCTGGAAAAACCATTGAGAAAACGGGACCCGATGAAATATCTGAATAAAAAGCAGGATTCCATGAAGAAGCGGGTTCTACGTTTTACTATAAGGTAAAAGTGAAGCACTATTCACTTTTTTTTTTGTACATATATATTTTTATTGAAGTATAGTCAGGTCACAATTTTGTGTCAATTTCTGGTTTACAGCACAATGCTTCAGTCACACATGAACATATATATATATATTCATTTTCACCATAAGTTACTACAAGATACTGAATTTCCCGTGCTATATAGTTTGAACTTGTTGTTCATATATTTTATGTATATTAGTAACTATGAATCTCAAACTCCCAACTAATCCCTTCTTACCACCTCCTCCCTGGTAATCATAAGTTTGTTTCCTATGTCTGTGAATCTGTTTCTGTTTTGTGAATAAGTTTGTCTTTTTTTTATTATTATTAGCTTAGATTCCACATATAAGTGATACCATATGGTATTTTTCTTTCTTTCTGGCTTACTTCACTTAAAACGACAATCTCCAGGTCCATGCATGTTGCTGCAATTGGCATTATTTTACTCTCTTTTTATGGCTGAATAGTATTCCATTGTATAAATATACCACAGCTTCTTTATCCATTCACATGTCGATGGACATTTAGGTTGTTTCCATGTCTTGGCTATTGTAAATAGTGTTGCTATGAACATTTGGGTGTATGTATATTTTTGAATTAAGGTTACCTCTGGATATATGCCCAGGAATGGGATTGCTGGATCATAAGGTAAGTCTATTTTTAGTTTTTTCAGGAATCTCCATCCTGTTTTCCATAACGTATGTAACAAACGTAGCTGCAGCAAACTACATTCCCACCAACAGTGTAGGAGGTTCCCCTTTTCCCCACAACCTCTCCAGCACTTATTGTTTGTGAACTTTTGAATGATGGCCATTCTGACTGTTGTGAGATATACCTATTGTAGCTTTGATTTGCATTTCTGTGATAATTAGCAATAATGAGCATGTTTTCATGTGCCTATTGGCCATTTGTATGTCTTCATTGGAGAATTGCCTGTTTAGGCCTACTGCCCATTTTGGATTAGGTTGTTTGTCTTTTTCTTATTAAGTTGTATGAGGTGTTCACATATTCTGGAAAACTGCCCTTGTCAGTCTCATCTTTTGCAAATATTTTCTCCCATTCCATATGGTTTGTTTTGCTTATGGTTTCTTTTGCTGTGCAAAGCTTATAAGCTTAATTAGGTTCCATTTGTTTATTTGTGCTTTTTTTATGGATATATATTTATATTGAAGTGTAATCAATTTACAATGTTGTGTCAATTTCTGGTGTACAGCACAGAGCTTCAATCACACATGAACATACATCTATTTTTTTTCATATTCTTTTTCACCATGTTACTAAAATATATTGAATATACTTCCCTGTGCTATACAGTATAAGCTTGTTGCTGATCTATTTTATAGG